GTGAGATTAGAACCGCTGAACTGCGGATAGCAGTCAGCTGAAGTGCCCTGCAGTACTGCACCCTAACCACTGCACCACCTCGGCTTCTTTTCAGCTCCTCTTCCTACCAGGCCTTCCCCTCCCTGTCCCCCGTCTTACGATGCCAGCTTTTGAGTGCTCCCCCATGCCAGGCCCTTCTTCACCCTCCCTCCCTGCCCTTGGGGAGGGGTGGGGGCCGAATGGAGAACGGCCTTCCCTAATTCTGGGTCTTCCTGGAGAAGAGCTTCCAAAATCCCCAGCCAGGAGGCTGATCAGAGTCAGCTCAAAGTCAACTCAGTCCTCCGTGAGGTTCTGAAGAGCCATGTGAGGATTCATCTGGATTTATACAAATTTGGACAGAATCGCACCGAGAGATGCCCCAGCACCTGGTGTCCCGGGGCCTTTAGGCACCAACCTTTGATCCCCGGGAACCAAGCCGCCTCTCCTCACCCCACTTCGAGGGGTCATTCTAAGGGAAAGTTGGTCTCGGAGGTCTTCATGCATCTTTTCTGCTCTCCCAGAGGTTCGGCTGATAGTCCAGGTGTACCTGGCAGTTTGCCCCCCACAGCCAACCACAGCTCCCCCATCCCTGTCTATCGGTGAGAGATGTTGGCAACCTTCTGCATGGGTCAAAAGGGGGCATCCATAGTAACACGCAGCCCACCTGAAAACGCCACCCTGCGTCTGCCCAGATTATGATGTAAGAGAGCCGACCTTCTGAGGCCCTGAAAAATGTCCTTTTTCTGTACAGATGTGGCTCCAGAATGAGACTGTGTAGGGACTGCCTGATGTGTGAACTATGTGGAAGACCCTCCATTTCTTTTAGTGGGGGGAGGAAAAGCATTTTGAAATGCTCTTAGCCCTAGGAAGCTCCTGCACACACTTTAAGGAATATCTATATGTAGGGTGACATCTGTCCATCTGGTCAGAGTGAGACCTCCAACCCAACTGGTTTTGTAGTAGTTAAAAAATCCCCAGAACCATGGGACTGGCCCTACCCTCGGGCCAACGGCACAGTTGCTTCGGGCATCTTCAATTTTCTACAAGTCCCGTGAGGGAGGACCTCTTACCACTTTTTGCCTCTGGCTGCATGGATTTCTGTCCAGCCCTGGGAAGGGCTCCCTTTGATTGGGTTGGAAAAGCGGGGAAGAAGCTGAAAACACGAGACACCAACCCCGCAAGTCCACAGAAGCAAGGAGAGGACAGGGGATGTCTAAGATCTCCTCTGCCCCCACCCCACTTTTGTCGACAAGCCCCTTGTACTTGCACTGACCTTTGTGTCTTGCGAAGTACCGCCCCAGGATGATCAGGAGGCAGAGCATGGCGAAGACCACCACGGCCACCACTCCTCCAATCACCGCATGGTCCACCGCCGTGATGGCGCTCTCTTCTCCTGCTCGAGAATCTGCCACAATTAGAAGATGGTCAGGATGGTCCCTGGAGACCTCAACCCTCCTTCCTCGCAGAGGTGTGGCTCGTTTTACACCAGGGGTCTCCAACCCTGGTGGTCCTGGCACTTGTGGACTTCAACTCCCAGAATTGGGAATTGAAGTCCACAAGACTTAAAAGTTGGCAAGGTCTGTTTTGGACCACGAGAGTCCCAAATGGGACCCCGGGTGGCTGCTGGGCACTGCTGGAATGCATCTGGGTGGTGGGACTCACTAGATGCTGGCAGAAGGGGAGGCAACTGGAAGGATGGAGACATTGTTTGGGGGACCTTCCAATATAGGGAATCCATACCTTGCAGCTGCAGCCCCGTGAACAAATGCCCCCCCCCCACCCTCAAACAAAGACCCGTCAAAGGAGGGGGGATTGTGGTGGGCCGGCCCCAAACCTCTCTCTGCGTCCCTCCCCATCCTGGGAGATTTAAAAACGCGCCATCAACCTCTTCTGAACTGAAGACAAAAAGCAATCATTGCCTATTGCTTTTATTTTATTTATTTAACATCTTGCCTTGCAATTAATTTGCTTTTACGAGCTGCTCGCTCTCTTCTACTCCCCCCCACCCCAATGCTTTCTGTCGGAAGAGGATTGACTGGCTCAGCTGGGGAGCAACCGCAGTGAGGCCCGAGTGAGGGATGGCTACGTAAAATTAATGTATAGCAATGTAAACAATTTTAATTTAGGGACGTGGCTCAGCAGCCCTCCCTGCCCCTCTAATGGCAACCGAGATTTATAAGGGAGCAAGAGACAATTATTCTCCTGTTGATTAATACATTAACATTTGGGAGCCACGCTCGCCTTTCCCCACCTCTCCCTTTTTTTATTTTTTTTGATCGAGTTTAACCGTGACACCTCCATTAAAATGATTTACTGGCCGTCCCTTACAATTTAAGCACAGCAGCAACTGAAATAGTAAAATTCCTTTAAGTTTACATGATTTGTGAAGTCCGATGTGAAGGATTTGCCATTTAAATCTTTCCCTACAAGAAGCGCCTGGCCAATAAAGCCCCCCCCCCGCCTCCAGCCCACCCGGGTGCCGGAGAGAAATGCGTTTCTCCAGGAAGAGCCGGTTGTGCAAATTTCAGCCCATTTTTTAAGAAAGATTGATCTCTCCCCAGAGTGGCTCCTCTCTCGGAGGCCCCCGCCTCGAATAATATTTGAAGTTTATCGATCAAGTGTGCAGCTCCGTGGCAGCTGCAGGTAATGGGGCTCCTCGGAGGAGGAGAGAGGCCCGATAGAAAGCTTCCAGGTGGGGGGTGGGGGGGAAGGATTTACGATCCCCACGAATAGCATCAAATCTGCGCCATGATTAAACACTCTGAGGTTAAGTAAATAACTCCTGGCTGAAAATTGCTGCAAAATGAAGTTTAATTAAAAAAATATATAGTCCCAATTAAGAGTCTTCCAGAGGCCCCGTTAGAGGCTATTCAGGCAAAGTGACTCCCTGGAATGGGAAGAGCAAAGTCCTGGTTCCACCAGGGAAGAGGAGGAGGAGGAGACCGGTAAGGGCCACAGCCACCCTCAGCTGGAGGGTTCCAGAGGGAATAAGGCGGCCATTGCCATGGGTCAGCCACCAACCTTCCACCCACGGCAAGGGAAGAGGGGTCAGGCAGGGGGAAGAGTGTTGTCTTGAGCAGGGAACCTAAGGGGGTCAACGAGATTCCTTTTCACGTGTCTTCATGGACCCTTGGGGTGACTTGAGTCACATCTATGTACTTGGACACAATTTCCTTCTGCCTCCAGAGTGAGTAGGGGTGTGTCTAGACCAGCGTTTCTCAACCTTCACAGCTCTTGAGTTGGCTGAACCTCAACTCTCAGAATTCCCCCGTCAGCAGCAGCCCACCCTCCCCAATTCTACCTCTTAGCTGTTGGCTCAGGTGGGAAATGGGAGGATCTACTCTGACAGATCAATTGGGTCCCTCTTGGCTGTTTTTTTTTTGGGGGGGGGGCTCTGTGCTGGGGGTTGCTGCCTCTGCCGAGCACCCAGAGTCAAGTGGTGCTTGGTCCCCAAGGTGATTTTTCCCAAAGGCAGCTGGGCTTTCTTGTTTTTTTTTTTGGGGGGGGCTCTGTGCTGGGGGTTGCTGCCTCTGCCGAGCACCCAGAGTCAAGTGGTGCTTGGTCCCCAAGGTGATTTTTCCCAAAGGCAGCTGGGCTTTCTTGTTTTTTTTTTTGGGGGGGGCTCTGTGCTGGGGGTTGCTGCCTCTGCCGAGCACCCAGAGTCAAGTGGTGCTTGGTCCCCAAGGTGATTTTTCCCAAAGGCAGCTGGGCTTTCTTGTTTTTTTTTTT